TGTTTTTCTACTCTTTTCTGTTACGTGACTTTAGTTACGTTTTTAATTTTCTCTACATATACGACAAACTGTCTTAAAATCGCTTTTCATTATTTACTCTCTCGATCTTACCGATTCGATTCGACTCGATGAACCAACCAATCAATCGGCAACGCGGAAAAGAGGCAACAATAGATGCGATACATTCGGCTCCAAAACGCGCACTTCTTGGTACACATGCCTTTTTTAATATAGGATTTCTCACAGCTTATTCATTGAGAAAATAAGTTTTGTAATATAATTTTGTATGTAAAATAAACAAACTAGTTTTTAAAAATTTATTTCGCAAAATAACGATGATCGAGCACACGTTCAGTATTCAACGGGGTAAAGATCTACTTTTTGTGTAATTAATCAATCTATTTGCAATAAAATCAGTTTTCTACGCCGACGGGCGAGACAAGCGCGATTTTTTTCCATTCTCAATAAAAAAATGGCGACCGCGCTGTTATGCGCGTGACATCATCAGAATGGAAATCACAAAGTGCAGTTAGTCTAATTGATAGGTACACGCTTAATCGATTCCTTGATACGAAGGACACACGCATGTAAAATTACACGTTGCGTCTTCGAAGAGAGCGAGAGAGAGAGAGAGAGAGAGTATAACATAACTGGTAAAAGACGGCTTTTATTCTTGCTAGTAACGTTTTCCTTTTCCGCGAATAAATTACGCTCGGCAAACTGTAATTTCCAAGTTTATAGGATCTTTTTTTGAGAGTTAATTTTTATATAATAAACTTGCCTATAGGCTTATATTTAAATTATTTACATATACAAGACAAGAAAATAAATAAAATTCTAAAGTTCAATATAAAAATTGCACAATAAATGTACCTATTGTTTCTTTTTATGTCAAAGGTGGAACAAATGTGTGTGTATATTTTCCTTTATCGCAACGTGGAAAAGCAATAAGAGACGATAACAATAGTGTGTCCGTGTCTCTTTCGGTGGTTTTTTTTTTCTACGAAACGAATTTACGGAGGAAGTCGAATTCAGTAAGCGAGTAAATGGACACACCGAAGCAACAAACCCGACATCGTGTTTTCGCGTGACATTAATTAAATTGTCCTCGCGCTCGCGCGACGCGTAATGGAGGTGGGATATATAATGAGCGTATTTAATCAGGCTGTTTAATCAAGGGTGTCCTTTTACAGCCGGCCGCGACAATATCGTAAATAACCCTCGCTATCCCTGACGCGCGTCTGCAAAAAACTTAATGCGCTCGTTCTCTTCGCAAACGATATAGTCGAAATGACAGTAGATACATTTCGAGCGTAATAATAACTTTTTGTTGTTCAATTTGTTGTATAACTATAGTAGAGAGTCAACGTTAATAATGAAGGCAAATAATGAAGTAAATATAAACTTAATAATGCAGCGACAAATGATAACGTTGTTTCTATGACGATATTATGACATTAATTAACACGAGGAATGTGCAAATATTACATCACTTGGGGAGGATGACGTTCTATATTACGCGATATATTGTCCACAATGGAGAAACCGAGATGAGATTATCTTTGCACGAGGCGCATTACGGGAGCGATTGAATTACATCCGGAAAACCGGGAAAAAGCTCGCGGGTCGAGAAATGCCGCGAAATTATGCCGAAAGAAACGCGACAGTAAATCTACGAAATTGCTTCTCGGAATGGACCGGAAGTGAAGTGCAAAGAAGGGAAGAAGAGAGAGAGAGAAAGAGAGAAAGCAAGAAAAGAACGTAATCGGAAAGATGAAAGATGGTCGAAGGTCGACGGGCGTTTTGCACTCTCGCCACTCGCGCTGTAATTTTCTGCCGAGAGGGAAAAGTCGTCGCTCTTGCCGCTTCGACGAGTTTCGGACTCTTCATGGTAATCGAGGGAACCATTCAAAGGATTCGATTCTTATGTCGTCGGTTTGCTTCGTATTTCTTCGCTTGTTTCGCTTTACAGAGTTTCAAAATAAAACAAATAAGATTCTGTTAGAATTCTATTAGCGATGGTTGTGTTCTTTTTATTTACATCTGTATGTTTGAAAAATTATTTTGTTTTAAAATACTGAAGTTCTCACTGCGAAACACAATTGTTTAATGTCAGGAAAGAACAGCGAGACGCTTAGTCATATTTTTACAATAAAGAATAAAATCATGTAAGAATTGCGCACGACATTCTAAGCAAATAAGAATTCAAACAGGTGTTTCAAGAAATTTAGAAAGAAAGAAAAAAAGAGAAATCCGATATTTCGTGTTAACAACCTCAAAATATCATCAATGTTGCAATGTGCAGAGGTTCGTTTCACTTGACCCGATTGAAAGCTGCCTGCGTTCACGAGATCGCGAGAACATGTATACACGGTTTCCATAAATCACGATCCTGATCGTTGTTTTAACCACGAATGCAGTAACCATCTATAACGCGTTGCGTTTCGGTGAATAATTTCGATGTTACTAAAGTGGATCTCCCTTGCTAAAGTGCGATTACTGAAGCGGATCCCGAACAAAATCGAATATTTGAACGTCACCCGCGCGTATTGTATTCGGATTTAAACGTGTACTTTTAAACGCACTCGATATACGGGAACTCCCGATAATTTCCATTAAAAATTACTGTTTAAATATTTAAAAAAATATCGTACACACATAACAAAACCGTCAAATGATATGAGAAAAAAGAAAACTCGATCTTGAAAAAAATATTTTACACGTGTGTATTAAATTTATGTAACCATTTTATATGTGTGTATTAAAGTGTGTTTAACTTCGTTAAATATATATTTGATTATTACCTCGTCTAAATACGTGTATGAATTAATGTATCGGATCGGTAATCAAACGCTGTGGAATTTCTTCGATGTAATTACATAATGCAATTATTTGGATATATATGTATATACGCGGCGGTCTTGATGGTTATACGTCGAAGCGGAAACCGCAAACCGGTGTATCGTCGTGAATACACGATGTATTACACGAGAGGAGGGTGCCCGTCGTCGCAAATGGATTTCGTGCTTCTGTGCCGACTACCGCCAGAAGATTTATGACCGCTTTAAAAAGCACGATGTTTTCAAACCCGCGTCGTCGTTAGAACCGGCAAAAATCGATGCGCCGATTAATTATTCCCGTTAAAACCCTGGGCGCGGCGCGTATCCTTCGTGTTTTGTTCATACTTGCGAACAAGCATTTACCGCAAAATATTTTTTAATCCGCCTAGCTAGCCATTTTTACGCAACGCGCGACTCAATTGCGTGCGAACATGGTAAAAAACAAAAATCTCTTTCTACATGGCTATTGTGTTCTATATATATGGAAAAAAATCTCTCTTTGAATGCGCGAAATATTGATGTCCCTCAAATAACATTTTTACATAAAAATGTTAATATTGAATTACTGTGCTTTCTCTCTTTTTCTCTGTTTGAACTGATTTATCGATATTTTTGTTTGTTCGAAAATTATTATTTTTATACAAAAACTTGTAATCTGTGATATTTCGATAAGTTGGCGTATCGCTTGACAACGACTATAATGTCGGCCTTTTATTGTTGTCGGTGATAACGAGCATGTCACGCGCTTACAATACGAGGATTTCTTAGAAAAGAAAATAATAGAAAAATAAGAATATTATCCTTTATAAAGAGTTCTGTCAGAGACCGTAATATCGAATCTCTCGCAGATAAAAGAGAAAAAGAGAAAGAGAGAGAGAGAGAAAGAGAGAAATAAATAAAAATATGGTTATTTTGCCATAAACGAGATATAATATTTTTACGTTTAAAAATAAATAATTCTCCAAAATAAAATAATTCTCAAGAAAAAAAGAAACTAGAAATTATCTCACAACAATATGTTAGCAAATTTTTTTCTTTCTTTTCTCTTCTCATTTTTTCCAGGGCCGCGACAAAAAAAAGCTTAGGTATTTCATTGGCGGAAATGAATTTCCATGCAAAACTTTTCAAATTCAAGTCGGACTCACCGCTGCAGAACATTTCGCCATCTTCGGTTTCAGAACGAAATCTCTCGAGCTCGTACCTTCCTCCATAAAAAAAAAAAAAACTGTCCGGCGTTCTCCAACTTTTATTCGATTCATTTATTCATTCAGTGGCTACGTACGCGATCCGCCGAATATTCGCGATTAATTTCATTCGCACGCGACGCGACAGACCCGACGCTAATTGCACGCGAATTTGATGTATAAAAAAATAACGACCATTGTTCACGACTATAGATTTCACACAGCGGTATTTTATCGACTTGTGTGTCACACAAATAGAATGAGAAATTCTATTACGTTCGAAATATTCGCTTTCGTCACGTGTAACTTCAATTTAAGACGCATCATGTATTATTCGCTCTCTAATTAACTTACCATCATATGTACGTGATCGGTATTTTTATTTAAGTCTGTGGGGTGGAGTAAGGCGCTTTGCAGTCAAATGTTGCATTCCTGTTCCTGCATTTTCTGCCGCGCTTTTTTAATCGAAAGTGAATTATTGGAAATATCACACACACTGAATGACGGCCGATCAGACTGTGAAGTATTAATCGGACGAAAGCGATTTCATAACGACACTCGTGACTGACGTATGTCGATCCGTCCATCAAGTTTCGTTTCACTCGCGATCGAAACAAACAGGAGTTCTCCGGGTTATTAACTCGCGCGCGCGCAAATCTCACGGTGCGTGGTTTGTTTGAAAATTGACGGCATCTCGAACAAAGTCTTACAAATTTAATTAAATTAACGGAGAATATTATTACGTACAGCGTATTGATTCCCGTATTCACATCACCATGACGTCGCGCGCTCGACTCGCGCTTCGACAGCGCGAAGTTCGACCGCCGTCGATCGATGACTCGAATATCTCGTTCAAGTATCGAAACGCGACTGTTTATACGCATCGAGAAAAATCGATGTCGTGTCGTGCAAAATCGAAGAGCATAAGTGTTTCGTGTTTTGCGGGATTTGTGTTATGGCGCGTCAGGTGTGCGATTGACATTGAAAACTCGAAGCGCGAAGTAAAACGGACAATCGTTAGCGACGTAAATGAACTTAAGTGCGTTTAGTGCTTCGCGCGCGCTAGAAGTTCCAAGTAACAAAGAACAAAATAAAGATTCGGAATCACAAAATACAAAAAAACGCAACAAGACGGCAAGCATCGACTGGTAAGTCAATCTTTATTTATAGCGCATCTCTGACAGCACAGAAAGATCAAACGACATCTTAAAAATGTCTGAAAGCCAGTAAAGCGTTTTTTTGAGACGTGCGCGTCTGGGTTATGTGATCTTTATACGCGCGCCCATTCTTTCGCGATAATCTGAATATCGTCACGTGGTAACAGTTACGCTTTATGGCGCGCAATTACCATTATTACTTAAATGCGTCATTTGATCGGTCTCTCGCTTATCTTCGAGTATAATAGGAGAGAAAGATTTAATCTTGAAAAAAATCCAGAGGGTCGTGATCCCTCTTGCGCATCGGACACTCGATGATGTTCGTTCTCGACATGTATCGACGTTTTATATTCACATTTTATTTTGAACATTTTATTTTAAACTACGACAATGAAGTTTTGAACGTAAAATATTTGAAATAAATGCTGTAAAATTGTCTATTCGAAAAAGAGTTTAACCTAAGAGCAAGTAAAAGTTAAATAATACAGAGATTTTTACTCAATCAATCGATTATTTCATTAGAATTGATATCAATGTCAAATGATATCAATGTCAAATTATAACAGAGAAAAAAACTGAGAGCGGCCAGGGTCATATGAAAAACTGTAATAATACCTTTACTGCAGCCATGTTTACGAGCGACTAGTCGTGCGCTATATGTTCATGAAATCGTGCGCTATGTGAATAGCGGAATCGAACTATGTCCACGTTTGGACATAGCGCACCGTAGCGCACGCACTGACCAGTTGACCTCGTGGTCATGGCTACGTAGTTGCCAATGTGCACCACCCATGGACATAGCGCTGACTTACAGGGCGGAAAAGCGATTACTCATTATAGGCCTAGCCGCTTTCATTCTTCTCTCTGGTTTTTCATATGGCTTTGGCCGCGTTTAGTCGTCTTTCTGATAGTAGTCATTTAGCGGAACTGATTATAATTGATCAACTTTATAAATTTGACATTACTCGATCGATGGCGCCACTACGTTTTGTAATCGGTAAAATAGGTTTTGCGTGACGGTTTACATTACACTACATAGTGTGTTGTTTACACAACAGTTAGCGCTGCAGAGCAGTAATGTTAAAGGGAGTGAATTGTGTGATGATGAAATAGAGAAACAAAAAGGTAAATAAGTTAATATTTAAGACTTAAGTGAAAAAAAGAATAGAAGTTTGTGCGCGCACATATAAGTGTAAATCTTGAAAAGGTAGGTATCAAGCAATAAAATAAATGTAAGTGGCATTTTAGTCATTCGACGATGTGTCTTAAACAAAGTCACTTTTAACCTCTCTGTGCAGAAAACTACGTAAATTGTTTTTTAACTTGTAGATTACAACATGAATTCTTCCTTTTCTTTGAATTTTGCACGGTTTTACGCAGTGTTTAAAAGGAAGATACCAAAAGGATGGAAAGAAGATAGTGTAAAGTACGACAGAGTTACGTATTATCCAAGGTACTTTGTTATTTACTTTAGGATAATTTTGTTTATATGCATTTATTTATAATTAAACAGAAATAAGATTGAAAGTATCAATACAACGAAACTTTGAACGATTATAAAATGTTATAGTTGTTATCAATGTATGAACACTTTGAAAACATATTTGTAGACATCCTGATCATGTAGATCCACCATTTGAACCAAGCAAGCTTTTAATGGTAACACGTGTAAAACCTTGGTGGGGAAATCCATGGTGGGAGAAGAAAACACTTATAACTTTAGGTTTTGAGGAAGAGGTAGTTGAAGTTCTCAGCGTATTACATGTACAAAAAATATTTGACAAATTCTTTATTTACCTAATTATCATTTTTACAGAAGAAAGGTCTGGATGTAGTGATTGTTAAAAATACACCAAATATCTGCTCCAAGCTTTGGTCAGTGAAGCATTTGGTAAAGATTGTACCTATAAAACTACCTAAGAATCTGCCAACCGAGGATGATCTAAATGGCACGTATTTACATGAGAATGGTACCTTTTCTGTTATACCAAAAGTAGATGCTGCTCGTTTAGAAGCAACAAAAAAGTTTATAAATGATGAGAAGAGACTAAATCGCGATCTCATACAAGAGAAACTTAGGCTTCAGTGGCTACGTGGAGAAGTTATACTGTAAAATAAAATAAAAAAATAATATAGTAGTAAAAAGTCATTGTGTTTTACTTGGAAATTTGAAATCCTAAATAATTTTTTTGAATTAATTATAGGATCTAATTTTGTCAGCTGATAAAAACTAAAAAAAAAAAAAAACTAAAAATAATCATGCATTGTAGAATATTCTATAAAAAAGATGCAAAAATAATAAAATTAATGAATTGTGTGTTGAATTTCACAAGGAAGAAAAAAAACAGATTGAACAAATAATATAGTTTATTTATATTTTTGCATATGTGGTCAATTGACCGTTTTACAACCTACTAACAATAATTGTTAAAATCTTAATACTTTATACCCCTCGCGATAAGATTTTGTTATCCCGACCGTAAATGTTTCAATTTACTTTTAAATCACAAAATTGAAATAGATGTGAGAGGCTTCTATTTTTTTGGAATAGTACATGTAATCTTAAATTATAAGATAGCACATTATTTTTATATTCCGGCCGCGTATCTTAGAATCGTCTCACATTTATTTTAATTTTCATTTTTTTACGCAAAATGATTCAAATTTTGCGTGAGATACCATCTTGTTGTGGGACACCCAAGTATATAAGTGGAAGATGAGTGCCGCTTTGGGTCAGTCGTGCGGACCTATCTAGATATGGTGTTCCGAAACAAAAAACAAAATTCGTTATAGGACGAAGTTCAGAAAGAAGTCTAGACTTCGCGAGCGAGACTCACCGATATCGGCCGCCGTCGATCAGCTCGAACGATACGAAAACCATCGAATCCGCTAGGCCTGTGTTCAGAAGACGTCCTGCCCTTCCAAGATTTGTTTTAGCAAGCTTACTAATAGCACGTTTCTGAAATTGCACTCGATAATGTGACTCTAATCCTGAAATAACGTTTCATCGGCGGCGACAAAAAATTCTTGCGAATTTACTCTCTTGCGATACTAAGAACTGGCGAACTAGATTCGAACTATTAGTTAAAACCTAAGGTCATAGACTATTCGTATCCACTACTATGATTCTATGAAAAAAGAACAATTTCGACCTCGTGTACATATTACTCGAGCGGAATTCAAAAAAGTAGCGAACGTTTTGGAAGTCCTAGTAATGGAGAGACAGTGATCGCCGTTTTCTCTGTTTCTCTCTCTCTCTCTCTCTCTTTCTCTCTCTCTTTCAAATTTTATCAATTTCTCGCAATGCGTACCTGTTAAGATTATTTTGTTTCTTTAAAGTTTCTTTATATCTGAACGTCTGACAATTTACGAGTGCGACGACTCTTTTGAATTTTACGCGGAACTAGTTCGTCTTCGATTGCGCAGTTTCCAGAAACGCCGATCTCTCGACGTATGATGAATCGAAATCGTGTTCTGCGTCGTTCTGGGACCGCCTTTCTCCGGCATGTACATTCTTAACAGACGCGCTGCCCTTTCCTCCTGCGATCTGTCCGCCGCTTTTCCGCTGAGAAAACTCAGCAATTTCATGCTTCGTCTCTTCAGCCTCAGTCTGTTCAGAAAATTTGTTTCGCTCGTGCTGGACGGACTGGTCGTTCCGGTCTGATCGTCGGAATCTTCTTCCATTCTCTTTGATCTTCTCAGTTGTTCAGTCCGTCTTCCGTATCTTTTCTCGCTCTTTTCGTCGGAATCTTCCCTACTGATCATTCTCTCCCGTCTCCTAGCGGCATTCATCTCCTCCTCGGCGTTGCGCGAGCTGGTCTCTTCAGCTCTTCTCGCGACCGCTTCCAACTCCCTCAGACGTTCGGCTTCCCTAAAGCTCTTGGAGCCAGGCGATCCGGTCGCGTCCGATTGCGACGCGCCGCTCACATCCGCGTCCACGTCGGATAATTTGCGATGCAAATCGACGATCTTCCGACGAAACTCCTCGTCTTCCTGATTCAGTTTCGCGAAGACTCGGTCGCGCTCCTCCGTACTCGCACCGACGCTCGACTTGGACGTCGTTTGAAACCTCTGTCACCACCACCCGACTTGGTGCTTACCGCTGCCTGGCGAATCCTCTTCTTCCGGCAGCGGTTCCAGTCGCTTCCTACCCAGGAAGCAGCGCAGCGAACTTAGACTACCGCCTCCGCCCAACAACTGATCCATACTCAGTTCGGGTAACGTGCAGTCCTCGTTCTCTGACTCTTGATCGGCGTCGTCCTCAACCGACAGATTTAGGCCGTAGTTGTCCTCGCCGGCGGCAATTCCGGCGCCGCTGGTGCTGCAGCCGTTCGGCGGCGGCTAGGAAAGTCAGTCACAGCTCGCTAGTGATTCTTCGCAAACAGAAAAACAGAAGGCAAGGCGTTGTCATGCAGGCAGGCGTGCGAAGCTTACTTAAGCTATCTCTTGTTACGTTGCAGTTTTTTATATCGTGGATACGTATGTATATATTTAGGTACACGAGGCTGATCTTGGCAAAGCGGAGCGAATTTTTAAAAATTATTTTATAATAACAACCTCGTGAAATTGAGGTGTAAAACTCGATTATTAAGGTGGAATTTTTTTTTAACCGGGTTTCTTAAACAATTATCATTGTTGTGTTACATATATTGTGCATCAAACTACAACAAACCATTTTAGAGACTTATAGGACGTACTCATACTTTTTACATTCACACACGGAGTGCTATTTGGTGAATCTCGCTTCCAAAGATATATACTTTCACAAGCAAGCTTTTAAAAATTAAAAACTAATAATATCTATATCAAGCGATCGTTAAATTTATGTGCAACGCACATTTGTAACGACTTACAAATCTCCAGCTTAGTGCTTTTGAATGCGTGTATTATTACGTGTGTCGTGGTCGCAAATATTATTACCGAGTTCGCGGTGAAGCTCTCGTCGTCCGGACCTCCGGACGTCGGGGTGCCCCATATGTCGTCACCGGAAGTCGCTCCCGACGTAGTGCCTTCTTCGTCATTTGGGTCCAGCGAGAACTCGGTTCGTTCAGGAGGTACCGGCGGTTGAAGAAGGTAACCGCCGACGTTTTCGCTAAGCTGTTCCAGCAAAGCCATTTTGCTGACAACGTAGCTGCTCGCTCGCGCGGTCCATGCTCTCAAACCTACCGGTGGCGACTCCACGTCCCGGTTATCGTCATCCCCTTGCTCGTCCAGATCGTCGTCCTGATCCAGACTGCTCATTGTGCCAAATCTTCTTAAGGCTCTACGCGAAAGCAATTGTTAGAAATGTGGAAAAGTGATTTTTTAATGAAAATTACTGCTACTTTTGAAGTATTGTTACTTGCGATCGTTCATTGCACCTGTAAGGAGGTTCCCCGTCACAATCGAGATCGTCCTCGCTCCCGTCTTCGGTATTGCCGTCCGGAAACGCGTAACTGGGACTGTTACGTCCCGGACTGTCGTGCAGACCGTTTCGCAGTCTGTGTCTCGTGCAAAGATCGGGGGTCGGTGGAAGAACCGAAATTCTCGGAGGCAACGGAGAAAACGGATCTCTCTGCAACGGTGGCGTAGGACACCCCGATCTGCGCAGTAAATTATTTTATTACAATTTCTTACAATTATTCAAAATTTCAAGAACAACTTAAGTTTTGACTGTATAGATAATAAAATCCGCTTGCGCGTAGTTACAAATATTTTTTGTTATATTTTTTATGTATTTATTCTTTTTTTTTTGTATCAAAGGATTTTTTCCTCGTTAACGAGCAAATAAAGTAAAGTAAATATTATAAAATAAATACTGCTCTTGTCAAGTAAATTTTACCTGTGGCATCTACGACAAATGCTAATGGAGCTCGTCGAATTCTCTTTCGAAGACACATGACTGCCGTTTTTTCGCGTCACGCTATTCGACTTGACGGTACTCAGACTTGCGCTCGACGCGGTGCTCTGTTGTTCCACGTCAGAGTTCGCCGCGACGACTTCCTCCGTCGCAGTGTCCTGACTTGTCGATCTGCTGTTACTCTCCCGGGGAGATCTGGCGGCTAATTCCTCGACCGTCCACTCCTCGAGAGAGCCCTCATGATCCGGTGGAGGGATCTGATGCGAATTGCGTACCCACTGAGCCAGATGATTGTTTTCTTGAGAGTTCTTCAGGATCGTGTCTAGACTCTCGCCGGACTGCGACTTCTTTTCCTCGTCTTCGGGTTGCTGAGACTCTCTCGTCGTCTGTCATCACATTGATATTTCGACGTTGAAAAAAAATTAAATTACATTATTAAAAAACCAAGTCGTCGCAGAGAAGACGATCTGTCGATCGAATCGTTGTTCGTTCAGTATTTTGTTGTTGCTCACCTGTAAACATTCTCTGGGTTCTTTAATCGCGGCGAAATTGCTACCGCCGATCGGAATTTCTTCGGGACTGTCCTGATCCAATAGGTTCAAGCCACAGCCTGTATTCACATAGATGCTAGAATACAATGAAAATTGACACGCATGAATACTAACTTTATCTATCCCCCCTCCCGACATTGCGCCAAGAAATCCCGCGAGACACACACACGCGTGTTATCCGCGCCAAGTGTTCACCACTCACATTTGCCGTTGAAGAAGATTGTGCCAAACGGCTTTGAGCTCCGGGGTGGGTGCTCGCAGAACGAGAACGCGTCTTCGGGTTCGACTGTGCGGGCTGCAACCGCCGCTGTTCACCGTCTCGGCGAGGCCGTTCTCCGCGTTCGGATTTATGGCGACCTGCAGCCGAAACTCCGTCGGTCTTTTGCGCACGGTGAAACACGCCTCGGCGATATTGGACAGTCGCAAAGGTTCCTCGGTGACAAACAGCACGCGGTCTCGCGAAACTCGCGCAAATACCAGAAGATCGGTTAGAAGAAGCGCCCAAGAGGGTTGCAGGCGCGCTCGACCCTCAACTTTAGCGAGAGCGCCGCCGAACAGCCTGAAACGCACATTTTTATTCTTCTGTGTAAAAGTCGAGAAACACATCCAAATTCTGGAGAATTAATAAAAACGATGTTTTTGATATTTACCATTGCCTTCCAGGCATCGCTAAAGTAAACGGGTTGCATCTCGCGAAAACCAGTCGAGATTCGACCTCTTGCAAGCTCAGTAACGGTCTGCCGGTGTCTCGCGGCGGTTCCATGACACCGGCGTTAGCCGTGGCTTCTCTGTAACCCTGAGCCAAGTCCCTCGCTTGTTGACAATTCCGCGGAGACGCCTGGCCCAGCAATCTCGTCATCTCTCTGGAAGCACGCAGAATTTGCTACAAAAACAGTACGGTTTTCGCTTTTCCGGTACTAGCGAGAACGTAGTAACGAGTGACATTTTTTGTGAAAAGAAGCGCGATCGTGGTTTAAGAGATGTGATATCGTGGTGCCAACCTGTAGTGCTCCAAAGGCACGAGCAGTACTCCGGTGAGATCGGGACGTCGTTTGTGCGGCACGGCGGGTTCGCAGACCAGTTTGGCGAAGGCCGCGTTTCGTCTTAGAGCAACCAAAAGGCAACAGGCACGTTGTAGGCCACTGAGGTATCTTCGGTAGGCAGCTGTGATTTTAGGAACTCTGCAGAGATAGCTGTCGACACCGCCGCCCTCGTCCCTGATCTCCTCGGACAGTTTGAGCAGCTCGTCCAGATTCTGGAACAGAATCAGGTAGTCCGCCGCCGACAGCACGTCCCGTCGCTCGCTCAGCGGTACCATAAAACGCGTGTGGCCGTTCTTCAGAATTCCCCAGTATCTGGTCTCGCGCACGTTCAGCTCCTCCTCGGGCGGCGCGTCGGGCGGCAGACTCGGGAAGATCTGCTCGAGTGAATCGCGAAAGAATCTTCAGTAATTTTTTTTTTTTTTTTTTTATAGGAAATCTCGATTTAAAAACGAATGTTCGTATTGGAGTTAAAAATGTTCTGGAAATCCTCGTATCTATATACTTATCGCCGTTTTAAATAATAATAGCTAGCGATTTTCTGTTTGTTTATAAGATAATGTGCAGTTTGCAGCATGAAATAATGATAGCGCAATAATGCATGAAGATAATGGTATGTGTTATTCGATCGATACGATTTGCATCGTACGAGATGAACAAGTAAGTAGTTGGAAAGTGTGGAAACAGAAAAAAATCGCTTTTGATTAAAACTCGAAGGAACTTAAAATGAGGGTGTGAGATTGAATTTTTTCAGTTAAGTTTTCAGTGTGAATATATGAAAGTTATATGTCAAAGATGATGTGAGAGATCGAAGGATCGATGATTTTCTTAAACGAACAAACTTATATATAAAAATATGCAGCGGTTGTGTGAAAAATCACAAAGGATGTGGATGGTGAAGAGGTGTAATAAATAAACGATAATGCGTGGTTAGAAACAAAACTTGTTGACAACAAAAAAGAGCAACCTGATCAAGGTACAAAAACGTAATAACCGCATTATAACTTAAACGGCATCTCTCACGCGAGAGACACGCGCGCTATACACTACACGCTCGCTGCGATTAAAAATACAAGAGAAATGAAGAGGAGAAACAAAAGAAAACAAATGTACACTTGAGTGTGTGTGTGTGTGTGTGTAGTGTGTGGTGTGTGGTGTGTGGTGTGTGTGACGCTTTTTCCGCACTCTCCTCTTGGCAAAAAAAAAAAAACGAAAAATAAGCTCTGAATAACGCACGCACTGATAACGCGCTCAACAAATTCGCATATTCTCGCTAAAATGAAAGCTTCTTATAAAAAAATATAAAATTTTTTCTCGATCAATTTTTATAAACACAAAAAAAAGTATATTGCGATTCCAATTTAATAATATTAGTATTTGCGAATAATTTTCAACGTTTTGAGACAAAAATCGAATAAAGTTCAAAATTAATATTTTATCCAGATTATTAAAAGTATAATAAAAGACGTTCTTTACAAGTATTAAACTTTGCATCGCTATATCATTCGTTTCTCAAGCTGTATCTACTATCACACATTTCTCCCTGAAACAAGACTTATTAAAACAATATCAGTAGTAGTTTTCAATGAGAAAACATTATCTCACACATCCGTTTCGCAAATCTATACGAGATTTACATCTAAAGCATTAATCTTAGAGACGACGCAATTTATAGCAGCATATATCGATATATAAAAAAATATATATACTTCTTCTACGATACTGAAAATAATTCGAGAATCATATATCTTGCGATATTATTTTCTCGTGTCGCGATCAATTGACCGATGCAATTCTTGGTTCCGATCAATATTGTATTCTGATAACACGAAAATTTCTTCCCGCAACATATATACTTATGTCAACTCGATATATCTCGCGTTACTAGCAACGTTTTCACACGAGGACGCCGGTACCGACCTCGGCGTTGAATGTGACCGCATGCTGGCTGGTGGAGCCGACAACGGAATGCTGTAGAGTAGTATTGACCGAACTAGGCCTGTGATGAGTGTTGGACGAGTTAACGCCACCTTTACGATACACTTCTAGAACCAGTTGATTTGTGGCGGCCTGGATGAGGCCCAAGATCTCGTCCCGCGGTCTCGTCACGACGTTCGTCGTCTCGACGAAAACCACGTGATCGCCCGGTCGTAGGCCAGAACGTTCCGCCGGACTTCCAGGGTCCACGCGTTCCACTCGGGGCGGTCTGCCCCACGATAATGAAAATCCCCATGGGATCTGTATGACAAGAGTTAACACAGAAAAATTAAATAACAGCTTGTAAACTGGACAATTTTATTGGAAATCAAAAGCGAAAGCATTTAGTGATTCTTTTAATCTTCCGCAATGTTTTTATTTCAATTTAAGATAAACGCACCTGATTGGCCAAGGTTTGTCTTATCAGCCTTCTCGTGATAGTACAGGGGGTTCTGCCGCCTTTCGCGGTGAAACCCGGGTGCAAAGGTAGACCAGTCAGAGGATCGAGCGGCTCGAGCTCCAGATGCCTCAGATACGTCAGATCGTCCGTCCCTGAGTTGTTGTTATCTGGCTCGCCGTCTTTGGATAATGGCGGCGACACGGCGCAATCCTGAGGTACGCTTCCGAAAGGAGTGCTCGTGTTTCGAACAGATCCGGCTTCTAGAGGATGCCATGTCGCTTCCTACAAAAAAACAATTTCCTTACATTTAATACTTCCTATTGTGATACAACAAGCGTTTGTATTTTTTTTTTTTTATTTATCTGTATATTATTCAGGAATTAATTTTAGCCAAATTATAATTTACGATGAAGCGCATCTCATCAATTCTTTTTAGTAGCGAATTAAAAACAATATTTCAATTGACTGTTCCAAATAAATTCTCTGAGTTTTTTTCGGTAGAAGACCAGCTTGTATCAATTATTCATAGCAAAAACTTGCCAGACGACACTAAATATACGTGAACGTACAAACTTTTACTTTTTCAGTGAACGTACGTATATGAATGGCTAGCGCCGCGCGTCTCCATCGGGACTCCTTCGAATAAATGTTTAATGTTTTGACATACTATCCTAGCCGGAGAAAAAATGTTGGTTTTTTTTTTTTTTGATGATTTAGAACAAGATTATACTTCTTATAGATCGACGATTTTTATACGGCAAAAAAGTTTGTCAAACATATTCCGCGCGATATACTCGACGGTAATCACTCGCCGAACATAGAGCTCGATCGAGCGTCTCGAATAGACACTTCAAATTTCATGATATTCACCTTATCCTGAGACAGTGGCAGAGGTAGAGTCATGCAGCCCAGTAGCTCGCTACGTCTGAAACAGACGTAAAGAGAAATATACATAAATTTCCATCTTTCGGGGTAAAGCCGTAAGCAGACACGTTCGTATATACACACACGTACACACATATTGTATGAACCAATACTGCTAAGTGACGTAGTGTATATGCGTGACCGTCTCGCGCACTACGTACGAGGAGTAAAGAGGGTGAAAGAGGGGTTACGGATGCACGTGGTGCAAACATAGTGCGCATGATCCCGGGGAATCGATTCCCCTCCCCGCGAAAGGGGAACCAGGATGCCAGAAATTAGTTCGGATATTCGAATGGACCACCACCGATCGGGAAGATGCGCTGCTCAGAATTGCTCTGCATTGCTTAAATTTTCCCCAATTCTCCTAATCAATCTATCACAAAAGTGAATTGATAAGATAAGTCAGAGTTCGTAATAAAGTATGTTTTTTGTGTATATGTAAATTTAAAAAAAAAAATTCTCTTGGATTTACGTAACTTATAACAAAGTAGCTAATTTACATCCCGAATAATTGTTTAAGAATCAGAGCAGAAAAATATACTAAAAAATACTTTGCGCATAAAAACTAAAAAAAAAAAAGTGTGAGGTAGCGTATTCTCGTTCAATTTTTAAAGAAGCTTATTCAGAACGGTGTTTATTTGAGATGACAAAATATCGAGCACCTTAAAATTAGACCGAGACTGCTTCGATTGGACAATTCGCATTATAAACAAGCCAAGGTCGACGCGGGGTGAAAAAGTACTACATCTCTCGTCGATCGAATATTGAACGAGGAGGACACACGCGCTTTCTCGCGCATCGATGTGTGCACACGTAAAAATAAACGTAAAAGTAGTCGTAGATAAACGATTGCCCGGCGGGTATAAGTACAAACGTGGATTTACAGAGGCCAACGCCGGGGGGGCAAACGAGGATTGGAAAAATGCAAGAGTAATAAATTCATTAGTCCGTTTCCCATAAATTTCGCGCGGGTTTCGTGCTCGCTTTACGAATTTTACGTGCCTTTCCCACGCTGCCGTGCCGACCTGGCATACTTTGAGAGATCTCTATCTCGTGCACGGTACGAAGCATCACGTGCTTGTTAAACCTCGCGAGTTAACGATGTATCATTTACGAGTTTCTATCGGGGTGAATTAAACGCGCTCGATTCTCCGCGCGGACGGAGGTCAATTTCCCGCCTCTCTACCGTTTGACTATTATTGTGGAGAAACAAATTACGGTCTAAGCTTCTCTCAATCGTGTTCTAAAATTTACGTTAAAATTGCAAGAAAATTTAATTTAAATTTCCGCATTACACACACATTTGTTTTTCTCAAATTTTTTAAATGAAGAATGACCGATTCTCTATCTTATACATTTTGTTTAATTAAGTTTTTAATTAATTAATTTCCTATGTTATTATCTTTTTTTTGCACAATTATTAAAATAAATCTCAATAACTTTTTTCGTAATAAACTGTCGAGACGCACCGGTGGTCAAGAACTTGATAGACGAACGCGAGACGTCAAACTTGAAACTTTTATCGCGTTCATTCGTCGGGTTCAGACAGGATTTACGGATTTAATCCACGTCAGAGTATTTTCCAGCACTCCGGAGTCGTATATAAACACTCCTCTCTCTTTCCACCCTGCTGTTACTTCGCGGAGCATGCTCACCTCGCGCGACGATCCCGGTGCCAGACGGCAATGTCCAGGGACGTGGGTTTGTGACCGGTGCAGTGACTATTGTATGTCGGACAGGGTAGTATCAGAGTCTCGCGAAACACCGGATTCGGTGTGGCCCGGTGAACCGCGGTTCTCTTGACGACACCTTCGCCGCAGTTGTTCTTCAGACTCGCCTTGACATACGCGTGCACCGGCCCCTCGTACGCCCGCCTCAGGTCCTTGCACCTTATCACTGTGTGAGAAAACGATAAATTATGACAGAAAAATGTCTCATTCAAAGAGAATTTATTGTGAAAATACAGAATGTTTATTCAACTTCGTGGGAGAAAAATAAATCCTAAAATCTAACAAACGATTAGAAAAATTAATCAAAATGGATTTGTTAAAACAAATATTTTGGCTTACAAAATCGCCCGTTTAAGTCATCAAAAACATGTTGCACTAAAGTGGAACATGCTGAGGAAAATATTTCGATATCTTATTTCACTTGCAAGATAGAAAAGAGCGACTATCCGATAACACTGGAACAATTGACAAACTGTTATACGACCTTTGGCCTACCGCTTTTTTACTTTACTTTCGCATTCCACTTGTTCCATTTTTATCTGCCATACGAACGAAATTGTGCAAACGAAAGCTTGTGGTAAAAAAGCGAAACGATAAAAAAAAAAAAAAAAAAACGAATAAAAAGCAATTAGATTTTTTAATCTCGGGTAATACCTCCATTACGATATTAATTCTTTGTAATGACGTGTGTTAGATTCTTTTGAGTAAGGATTTTTGAAGAGGAATACGTCAAGATTATTAATAGTGTGTCTAATAGTGTGCGTTCTCTTCAATACTTGAACACGTGCACAGCAATAAACTGCGCAGCACATGGAGCGTGTTTTTGTTGCCAATTTGCTCTCTCATAAGTTCCGGTACGTTTGTTCCTCAACAATGAACTTGTTCCAATTTTTCACGGTAATGTTTTTTTTTTCTCGGCTTCGCGAGATTCGTAACTTTTTATTACTTTTACCTTTTTTTTTAAATAACTTTTCGTATTACGCGGCACTTTGTATGCGGATAAGAGAAATCCCGGAGAGAGAGAGAGAGAGAGTGAGAGAGAAAGACAGAAAGAGAGAATTGATGCTCCGGGTCTCCGCTCGTGCGGCTGACTATACCGCGGCACGCACTACTTGTGCTCGAGGGCGCCTGACCGCTGCGGCATTCGCCACTAGCTCCATCCATGCCGAGAATTCGCATCGCGTGATCCACTTTTTAGCGATCATCACAACCGTAACACCGTGCTTCGTGTTTCATATCAAAATATAAATACAAACATTTTTTGAATAGGATAAAGTCTTCCTTTCAAGAACCGCACGAGTTTCTCTTTGAACGATAACTTTTGCCCGAGAAATAAGCCAATTGGCAAAGATCAGATGTAGTTTTTTTTAAAGAAAAATGTTTATACACACACCGAAAAGTGGCACAGCGCAAGTCGGCACGAGTTCGTTCTCATTTGAGATAAGTTGCTCTTCACCTTACTCATCGACACACTATCGAGAGAATCCGTATTCCTCGTGCGCGAGAACCTTCAAAATGAGACACACACACACGGGGCTTGCAAAGTGGCTCCCGCGAATCGAAGACCGATCCTGCGGGATTGCGTCAACGAGCGACGCGCCGACGACCGTATGCGACGCGGTCTCGCGCTAACTGGAATACGAGAGAAAGAACAACGGGACGGAGTCGGTGGGAAGGAATCTAGTTGAGAACGAACGAAGGATCGAGATTGTTTACGCAAGAACAACACGACGATGATCGATGTCTGCAAGTCTACTAACCGGAATCGAGTCGCCGGTAAGGTCTGTGGGTTACTGGCACAGTATGGTGTCAAACGCGGGGTGCCGAGCGCACTCGAGGCAACCCCCTCTCGCAACACGTAACTGGCGCATGTCCCGTGGCCGCGAAACTTCAGGAGTGTACGAGAAGACGAAGATAACGAGCAGTCTTATATAAATATAAAATAAAAAATAGCTTTTTTTCTTTGACAACTATGCAAATTAAATAAATATTCAAGAGATATTAAACAGGTTAGTTGATTTTATAATCAGTATTCACACGTTGAACAAATAAAACTCATTTTATTTCGAAAAATAGATAAACTTAGGAATGAAGTTAATCGAATCAAAATTCTCGAAGAATTAATTTCTGCTAGTAATTGTGAGAAAATTTTTTTTTAATTAAAAAATATATAATTCTCATAGAAGTGTTATTGATTGTCTTTTCGTTTATTGGCATGTATATCAAACAAATGTATAAACTTACCACGAACGTGTATGTGTTCCGCCACGAGGGAGCATTCAATTTCGATTGATCCGTGACAATTGGATCTTGTCGGTGGTTCAAACTCGGGGCTGAACTTCAAGCATCTTCTGACAGTCGCAACCAAAGGAACTTCCGGTGTTGTCGACATCGAAGTGACGAATGATTTCGAGCTATCCGTTACGGACGACTTGGGGCTGTCGAGGTCCCAGGAACTGGTCTTTCTGCTGACGTCTTTATCCTTGCGTTCCTCAACACCGCAAAAGGATATCTTCGTGGGCGGCACGTGTTTCTCGTCCAAGGTCGAATCCAGATCCGTCTCCAACGCCAATTTCTTGACGTTCGGATTGATTGCTTCCATCAACGTATTCTGATCCTCTTTCGTCAAAGGACTGCATGTTCTCTTAGCTCGTTTGCCATCGACCTCTTTGTCGCCATCTTTTCGCGGACGTTTTCGGCGAATGCCCCGTTGTCTCTTTAACGTGAACTCGCCTTCCAGATCGTTCAGCGGCGATGCGAACGCCCAAGACACCGGAGACGGATCTTCCAAAAGTTGACTGACCGACGATATAGAACTGTCGTTTCGCGCCGGTGACGCTTCTATTATCTCATCCTGCTCGGCAATAGTCTCGTATATATGGTCCGTCATTTTTGAATCCGACGTTCCCTCCAAGACCTTATTTCTTTCCTCGGCGTCACCCAGAAGAATTTGCGCCACGGTTTTGCTACCAAAGTTGACCTCTTGTTCTCTACATGTAAAAAATGTTCACGGAAATTTATAAATTGCCTTATTTTTCATCATCAATTTTTCAATTACGTTATTTTATTTAATTATTCTCACCTGTGAAGCACTTCGGTCACAGTGTTGTCCATATTTTCGTACTTCGGCAGGTCCTGATCTATTGTGAGATTCGACAGTTTGCCAAGGAGCGGCGTCTGTCCTTGAGCCGCTTTCGGCTTGAAGGGACTGATCGCTTGAGCGAGCTTAGTGTGATAGGGTGTCCGGCATCGCGCGTGAATCTTCGTGATCCTCGCCAGCTTCGGCAAGTACGGCGTTTTCACCGGCCGTGTTTTTTGCTCGCTGTTTCGTGAGGAAAAGACCTTGGTCTTCGCGCCAAAGGGCACCGATCCCGCCTCCATCACGTCCTCGGGACTGGTCGCCATCGAGATCTGCTGGAAAAAATCGGAAACGTGTGACTGCAGATTCGCGCGCGCCTCGTTGACCACATTCTGCGGCAGTTCGTTCTCGCTTTGGAAGTGCTTGGCGCGACTGTTCATGAAGAGCGCTGGATCCGTCGGCAGTGTCAGCGCGGTCGAGCACTTGCTCCCGGGCGGATAATACGTGAGCGGTCCGATGTCGGTGTCCACTCTCGGCGTGCTCTGATAGTAACTTTCCGAAGCCGGGGAATTCTCCGTTCCCTGTGACATAGACTGACGTTTACTGGACCTCAAGTGTGGTTTCGTAGTCTATAAAATGCATCGATAAATTTTATTGTATCAAAAAAGAAAATTGATATTCTTACGTAGCCATCAAGGAAACCGCGTACACATATTATTTGCTTGTTATTTTTATTATAATTTCAAGCTGCGCGTGCTTTTTGAAGAGTTGCGCTTGTACCGTTACCTGAAAGTACGTTCTCAGGTCGGTTCCCTGACTTCTACACCTTCGTCTCCGAGCCGGCGTCGTCCTGGCCGTGTTCGACACATTCTGAGTTGATACTTGCCTGGTACGGCAGCTAGCCGAGGTTGGCGGTGTGTTGGACAAGTCTCGAAACGGTCGGCGGGGTGCCTTGCTCAAGGTAGGCGGACCGTGGGGCGTTGAACTGGTCGCCGACAACGATCTCGAGACCGTCCACTTCAGCATTCCTACGCAGAGACAAAGAAGACAAATTATACGAATTGTTTATTCAGTCGCTATTAGGACCAATGGACGTTCTCTCTCTCAAAAACGATTAAAATTAACGATACAATTAACGATACGTTATACATACGTACGTATGTAAAATTTACGACGTATTCTTCTAACTAATTTCACGTACAAAGAATTAAAAATTAAAAGGTAATAGAATTTTAAACGTAAATTCCACAGCCACCTGTTTCAAAGTAGACACTAATTCTTCTGGAAACCACAAAACTACGAAATAATTACTCTCACCCCAACACGTTGTCGTTTCCTTCCGTACCGCGCAATTTATCACGCAACATTTCATTAAAGTCTTTTTTATTTAATCTAGTTATTTCTTTCATAAAAAAGTGATCGGACTGTTATTTATTAGCAACACACGTGTTTACGAGAGCGGACAAAGCGCAGTGGAACGTATGAATGGGAAAGTCGTTGAGTTTTTAACCGTGTCTCAGATAAGGCGACGGTCTTGTGTTTATAGTGTCCGGTTGAAGTCCGGTTGTGATCGCTTGCGCTTAATTACGTAGGGAAAGAAGTGCACGACATGAAACGTGACAGGAAACCTTCGCGACGAAATTGAGAGAATGAGAAGGAGACAGAGAAACGCGCACCTGTCGTGACATAAGGGAAATAGCGAAACAGGTGAAAGACGCGCGATACACCTGAGAGGAGAGAGGGTTTCACGAGTTAGCACTTGCCTAGACACCGTGTTTAACGATCCCATAAACGGTCCTTAAAAAAAAACCAGCGCCCAATACCTCTTTCTTTCGTTCACTTCGCGGGACGTAATTTCGTCACTGAGCGGAAAGAAAGAGGGCGTGAATATATAACGGATAGAAAAAAAAGGACGCGATCGAGCGAACGAGCTGAATTGTCGTCTCGTTTCGTTTCGATCCCGTATGGTTGTTGTCGCTGTGCATGCACTCGCTGACTCGCAAAATCGCTGATTCGATTAGCCTGCACGAATATAGGTTTACCGTCGTTTGCGAACTGTGATTTCGAGGTCTTTTTCTTTGAGCATACAGTACTCGCTCAACCTAGCCGCTCTAAGTCGAACGGCCAATATTTTAGCGAATATCACGATTTATTCAGTTCAAAAAGTTTTTTGCGAAAATATCTTAAAACTTCACAATTGTTGGTGTAAATTGTACTCTGACGAATTTAATTTGAAAAAAAAGACATTGTTAAATTTTACTTCGAAGATGAAGAATTAGTAAACTCAAAAAACTTCTTTTTGTTCAGTTTAAATACATGTTAACTCTATCTTCATATTACTTTTTTTTTTATTTATTGCTCTAAACTCTTTTATTACTTTCCTCGATTTTCTATTTTTTTAATATAAAATAGAGAAAAAGACATTTTGTGTGCACGTTTGGATAAAAGATCATCATGTCTTATCTCGAGCTTAATGGCGAGAGAAATTTCATTCGTGAAAATCGCACGAATAAACTTGTGTCTTGAACAATACAATATGTGTAAAAAAAAAAAAACGGCGGTACCACTAGTAGCAGCAGCAGGTTTTCATTTTTAACGGTTCGTCGAGGGGGGGTGCGACGCATTGTACTAGCTAGGTATAAAAATGCATTCATTTGCATACAGGCTGTTGCCATGCTGTGCGCACGCGCGCGCCTTCTCTCCCATTCTGCTCTTTTTTTTTTTTCGCGTGCGCTCGCGTGTGCATTTCTCGAGGACGTTTTCTACGTATGTATGTATGTATGCGAATGTCTGTCTGTCGCGACACCATCATCTCCATTATTCTACGCGCTCGTAAAACGGTCTGGGCACCTGCCCATATGGTGGCGAAACGCGTGGTGGGTCCCATCTGGTATTGCCGAGTCCAGCGCTAGGTGCAACCCCGATATGCGGTGAAGATGATGGTTATCTTATGATGTCTATGAGTTTTCTCGCGCCTAATATTTTAACGTACCGTCTAGAGGGTAGTAACTTTTTTTCGAAGAATCTTCTTTCTTATATATATTTGGAAAACTATATATACAGAGATCGAATATAAGATAATTAAATTTACACATTTATTTAATTTGCAAATAAGAATTTATAATATACAAATATATCAATTTCAAAAGCCCGGATCCAACGTTGATTTTTGAGGCTTTGGAAAAATAATTAAAGGCGCAAAGTCATGTCTTAACGAATTTATGGAGATCTTACAGGTACGTTCTCAAGTGACGTGAGTGACGAGTCGTGTTACGCGAAATGATATGCAGAAATCCTAACTTTCAGTATGTTTGTCGTGACCTCTTTGAATAAGTGAGTAAATGCAATGGTGACAAAAGGCATTCGTCTGCATAATTACTTCGTCGCACAGAACAAACGGAATATGACAGTCAGACTGCACCTGCGACGTACATTGTTTCCGTCTGTGTTTCCGGTGTACAACTACACGACGTAAAACTACACATTATATTGTATAATATCTCTCTAACTGCTGTGTTGTACTATATGTGTTCATTGAATGAAATCTTCGCGTGTGTGTACGCATATTTCTCTATGAAAGAAATATCAATACATCAACACTGTAACATCAACAGCTATAAATATATTATTACAAAATCATCTTCTTTTTTTTAAATTTTTTTTTAAATAAAACAAAATTTTATTATTTTCATTTTCACAATAGTATAAATAACTACGATAAACTCTAAATATCTTTTTTCTTACATTTAAAACAAAATAATGATAAGATATTGAGTTTTGAATTAAAAAATTATTTTTTTATTGTGATAATAAAACAATGTGTAAAATATACATACAATGATCTGTTAATTTTCTCGGCACACCACTGTGTCCAAATATAAAATTCTTCCCTTACAATAACTCTCGCTGTGTGATTATGATTTAATAGATTAAATTCGATTAGAATGTTCCGTGCCGTGCTACTTAAACCAGGTCCAAAACCCCCAGGGGGTTCGCTTTTGTGATTATAAGAGCGCAGCAAATCTTAAAAGATATCCCACTGCATAATCGATATAAACATACAAAGCTGGAGGCCACAATGTGTTTCACCTGCGAATATTATCGTTCAATCTGATCTCCGATATAATTCGCGTTTAAAAAGGACGATTGAAAAGAGCAAACTCTTTTGTATATTAACCTGGATAATGGAGAAACACAAGTCTAAAACAATTTTACTGCCATTTTTGGCAGACAAATAAATTTTCAAAGAAAAGAGAAAGAGAGAGAGAGAGAGAATTTATTTATATACAAAAAAATTAAAAAAAAAAGTAAATATTTTTTTGTTTACAATATTTGAAAGGACAACTTTTTCCCGTCAGACTTATATTTCATTGTCGTGGAACAGTGACAAGTGCACAAAGCGCCGGGGAATTGCGACACCGAATTGTTTCGCGGCTTCTCGATTCCCCATATTGCGCCCCTTTTATGGACTTATAAAGTGTTCGTGCGAGATCGGTCGCATCGTTTGAGGTCGCGTTGCGAATGCAAGAATGATCCCCACGAATGAGAAGAGACGCAACATACAAGAACACCCGGGGCCTCATACCCGTCCCGCGAGTCCCGACCCTGCTTATATCATTCCCGCAAGACGCGAGAAGCAGGATCGACCTCGTTCCTTTCTCCGTGCCACGGAAAATGAATAAAATAGAACGACGGTTGAAACCTTGACATGATTGCAAGCACGGTCGACACAAGGACCCTCACGTCCATAATATATACTATAAAAACTGTTTTTAATAAGAAAGAACACGAAAGAAAGATTGAAAGAAGCGCACGAGAGATTGATCAAGGGGCGAATCCTGCTTCTGTTTTTCTAGCGGATCCTCTTCTCAGCCTTCGGGAAAGCTTTTAAATTTTCTGTCACGTAAAGCTTGAAATACGTCGCATAAAAAATTACCCCGCATAATATTATCCAACTTTGAAATAATTTTTACGTTTTATATTACAATTTTTGTATTTAGACAAATTGTTTCATTTTATTTCTCACATTTCGTTGACTTTCAATATATCTGCAAAGTTTACTGAAATATATTCTTTCTTGAACACAATATCATTGTCAATCTCAAACGCGCGGAGATCAAGAAGAATGGACGAACTACGAGCGAATGGGAGCGCAAGAAAAGATCTTCTGCCCTTTCTCCTTTCGTGACGTTTATAATCACTTGTTGTCGGGCCTGCACGAGATTAATGATGGCCGCAGCGCGAAAACCGCCGTCACAATGCGGATTATTCACGGGCCCGTAACAAGAAAGACGATGCCATTAACGGTCCTAACTCGCCCCTCTTTTCGAGGTGCGGCACGAGGAAAACTAGAAATACTCCGAAAAGCAGCACGAGTCTCGGGAAGACGGACGGGGAACCCTAAAGAAGGGCCTATATGTACACACATACATACATATATATATATATATATATATATATATATATATGTTTACAACTGACTATATTTAATCTGTTGTATCTGTTGTATAGAGGACGCTAAAAAACATTTACCTAGTTTTTCTTTTCTTTGATCGGATTTGAACTTTTTCTGGATAAAACCAGATGACATAAAATACATAAACAGATTATTTTTTTTTCAGTAGAAAGAAAATAAATATTTTTTAAAGTAAAACTATCAATAAAACTTAAAAACATAAAACGTGTTTTAAAACACATCGGTAATATGATATCCAAGTTTAATACAATCTCGAAGAAACGTCCGTTTTTTTAACTCTGAAAAAACTGTGAAATCTCTCTTTCTTTTTTTTCTCTCGCCTTCTCTCTCTCTCTCTCTCTCTCTCTCTCTCGCTTCCTGTCCAAGACATCCTGGGAGCTGACAGGAAAGGGGGAGGACAGCTGGGAGAGACTCGTGTGTAACCCTGATTTCTTTTCAGGTCCGCGCAAACAATCATGCGCGATCTTACATATGCAAACACGCGCGCCCGAATGTCGCTTACGTCGAACAAAAAGTGTCTCCGTCGGCTCACACGGAGATTTGAAGTGCCGCAGGGAACGTATTATGCCCCTCAGTCGATTTACTTGATTACTTCGAACATGTTTCCAAAGCCAAAGACTTTTCTCATCGTCTTGATTTATTTGAATGGCCGGAGATAAACTCTTTTATTTCGCGCGACAATAAAAGCTTTTGCAACGAGGTGATATACCGTAACATCGCAAAGCGGAGAATTGCATTGAATTCCCGCAATTATTCTCCAATAAAAAAAAAAGACTTGTTTAGAAAGTGACGAAAGAATGTTTTCGCGAAAACAAGATGGCAACAATAAAACAAACATGATAAACAACAAGAAGGAACATTCTTCCGATTGCTGCCATCTGCATCGATATCTGATAAAGTTTGTTTGCGAATATATCGAGAGACTGATAAAACGCGCAAAATCCCTAATCTTACAACGTCAGAAGTTCTCCTTCCGTAAATATAACGGCCGTCTGAGTTTCGGAAGAAACCAAATTCCTATTCCAAATTCCTACCGGAGAAGATCCCCCGAATGAAGGAGCGGAAAGGAAAGGGGCAGGTGGAAACCCCCCGTACCTGATTCCTTTTCACGTTATCACAGACACACGGACGTACGAGCGCTCGCATGTACACACGAAGCAACACCCCGATACGCTGCGAGCGGTCCCCGAAAATGTTCTATTCATCGTCCCCTCTCTTTACGAATCTTTCGTTTCTCCCTCCTCTCATTTTGATTTCCTATATACTGATTCTCTTCTTTCTCTTTCTCCTCTCTCTCTCTCTCTTTCTCTCTCTTTCCTAAGCCTCAAGACTCGGTTCTGATTTATATTGGATTGACCCCGGGTGCACATTTTGCTAGTGCCATTTTCTCGAAATGCTTCTCGCGCGAGGGGCAAGGCGGAGGGTGGTTTTCGGGGGCCCAACCGACGACAATCAAAGCCGCATTCACTCCAAAGCCTAGAGGCTACTACTCGCTTCGTCAGCGACAGGGAGAGATTAGGGGAACGGAGGTCGGCAACGCGCGCGGATGAAGGAGACGTGCGTCTAAGAGAAAACACGTCTTGTGCGACAGGAGAAGGGAAGACAGACCCGCGTGTTATTTGGAGCACACCTGTCCCCCTGTGATCGCGCGTATTCCCATGTCGCGCGCACCCTCCCCACCAAGCAGACCCGATCCACGCGCGTTCACCATAAAGATGCGACCTCACGGCTGTTTGCGGCTTTTCCGATTCGCAAGGATGCGCCATTTCCGAATAGGATTTTTGAAATCTTTATTTGCAAAATATGCGAAGAGAACTTAATAAAAAACATAAAAAAGTACTCGACCGCAAAACAGATTATATTTATCGAGTCTTAAGGAGAACCATATGTTAAAAAAAACCTTATATTACAAAAATAATACTTGTTCAAATGTTATTGTAAATTTAATTTATTTTTCTTATTTTTTCTATGAATAAAACATACTAATTTTATATTATTTGTAAACTTAATAATGTATGTAGTTATATGAAATATTTGTGTCTGAAATAATTTTTTGCAACGTCAGAAGTTTCATTTCTTATTTATTAGAATTTCTTATTTTTTCATATGTAACCGGCAAAGAGTTCTCTTGAGAAATTATAAATCAGCTTTTGATACACCTTGAGTTATTCAGATTTGAATTCATGGTCCATCATGTATTCCGCTCGTTATTATGTATTCTATTATGGACGTCGATCTTGGATATGTCGCGATGGACCCGGCCGACGAGAGCCAAAGTGGAATCTAATTTTCGAGATACGATTCACTCGACGGACGAAGAGCGCGCGCGGCTGGCCGACCCATCAAACGAGAAGGATGACCCACGGTCGAGAGGAGAATAAAAACGCGGAGAGATCGATCGGAGAGTAAACTGGAAACTCGCGAATCGGCGCGCGCGAGTGTGCAACGTAGTCTCTCACACACACACACACACATTCACATGACGGATCCTTCAGGAAACTTCAGAAGGACAGTCAGGACGAGACTCGAAAATAAGGTAGGAACAATGACGAGGAAACGAGTCTTGGTCAACGGCGTCCGAGGGGCATTTAAATGGCGGAACGCCGTACCCGAGAAAAGACTCCTCGAGTGAGGTAGACCCTCACTTCGGGGAAGTTTGTATAGGACCCGCGAGACTGCCCTCTCTCCCCTTTTCCCTCCCTTTTATCCATCGTTTTCTAGGTTCTATCCTACCGCTCTTGCGTCGTCTTGCGAAATCTCCCCACTTCGTCGGCAGATGTGCGCGCGAGGCGCACACGCGTGCTGGCCCTTTTCTCCCTTTGAATTTCGTGGGCCCGCGTGTCGCTCGGATCAAAAAGAACTGTCTTACAATTAGACGAGGTTCTAACATCGCTCTCGAGGGCGCACTTGCTCCTTTGTTCGACCGGTCGACCGACGAGAGGAAACCCGGCTCTCACTTTCCGGACACACCGACTCAACGACTCCCGATCTCCTCCCTTCGAGCCCCTCCCCCTCACGTCTCACAATTTTGCTCTCTCACGTTCTCGCGCGTGATGCTCTCGCGATTTTGCATCGGAAATAAGTGCGAGCGTCAGCTCGTGTCCGGAGACTTCAGAAGCCACCTCACTGTATATAATCTTCTCCGTGCCGTGAGGAGCTAGCTTATTATAACATGATAATAAAAAAAATCTCTGATATTATACGAAGATATTCTATTCGAGAGATTGAATTATGAAATTTTTATTTTTACTTTTTAATAACACGCTTTTTTAACATGAGACTGTTTTTTTTTCTTACGATCAATCTGTCAGACCCGTCTCTAAATCTTTTCTTGCTCGAATAACGTATTCTCGAAGTTGAATTTCCGAGCGGCATTTTACATACAGGGGAAGATATTGATCAGTGATCCGTAAAAATCGGAGAGAAGAGGAAGCAGCCGAATGATTTGCATAAGAGGATATTTTCGTCGGGATTCGGATCGCTGGGAAACCTTTCGAAACAATCGCGCATTCAAGATTAATATGCCAGATAAAAATGGCTCCTATTCCAGACCAGAGAAAGATAGAGAAATTCGCAAGAGAGGAAAAGAAAGTGCGCAAAAAATGGGGTATAGTGTCGCACCCCTTTTAACCACGCATAATAGCCGCAATGTGCAAAGCAGGCAGGCGCCATTGTTTCACCGGTAACTTTCGAGGTCTGACATGAGCGAGCGCGAGCACAACGGTCGAGCAATTAAGCGATCGTTTACTCCCTCGAACGCAGAAGGGTTCGTGAGATTTCCGACGTAAACGGGGAAGCAAAGTGTGATTTTTTTTTTTTTATGACGTTACAAAATGCACTGCATGAAATTGAAAAAATTTTAAAATAGTTTTTTTGTGATTAAAAATCTTAAATAATTAACTTACGCACACAAAATTTTGTTGCGCAATTAAAATTACTTAGTTCGTCAAAGTTCTATTGAAATTAGTTTGTAAATTTGGCAAATATACAATTAATGGAAATATAAAATAGATAAAACTAACGATTCTATGATTTCTGAAATAACGTTACGTTACACAAGTGTTAGACAGAAAATTTTATCAAGCTACAGTAAGCGTGTTTCAAAAATTCATATTCTCTTCGTATTTTTTCCTCTCCTTCTAGTCGCCTACTAATTTTAAATCGCACTTCGACCTCTTCATCAATTCTCGCCAAACCGGTTGGCACCCACAAATCTCTCTTTCTCTGTCTCTCTCTCTCTCTCTTTCTGCGCGACGAAGAAAAGGAACAAACTCAATTTACTCACTGTGTCTTTAGCACCAAGAGATTCAGCTAAACATCCGATATGTAGGAAATCGATATAACGAGTCACTGTTTCGAGAGCACGGTGTCTCACATAACACACTTCGGCCCAATCTTTTCGATCGTCAGCACTGTTTCGAGTCTCACGTCGAATGGAACACTGAGGTACCGGTAACGTGGCACACCGTGGCACTTCAACGACCGCCACTGCACTGACGAGGTGGGGTGAAAGCCGGGGCCTTATGTAGAAAGGGTCCCTAGGTGAACCCATGAAGCAGGAGAGACCAGACTTTCTGTCCTTCTTCCTGCTGCCACCCATCCTTGTTGGTTCCCCTTCTACAAACCTGACCACGTCGGCCACTCCAGTCGTCCCAGGTGAACACGGGAAATCCAATGATCTTTAATGTCAATGGTGTTGGTGGGCGTATCGAGATCGTCTGATCGCACAAACTCGTGTCTCTTGGGTCTTTATATACATTCAAAACGATCAAAAAAGCAAAAACTATGATGTTATTTATTATTTCTTATAATTAGTCAATCGTAAGTAAGCAAAATGTTTTATGTTACTTTAAGTAAAATCGCTAATAACACGGTTGTTACTTCGAAAATATATAGAAATCATTCGGCACAACGAATTCTAAGTGCGGAGAAGTGCTTTGTCAACCACCCTCGCTTGGCACGTGCCAAGAATATCCGCGCCACTACGTTTCTTTTTCTTTCATTCGAAAGGCTCAATTACTTGAACAGATTCGTTCTATTCAAATACGGTAGTTCGAGAGTCCCTTTTGATCTCTTAAAGGATCCATCAGAACGCATTGATAGCCGACATCTGGCAGTTCAGCTGAAAATCGCTACCGGAGTTTGATTTTTCCTACTCTCTTTTCTTCACAACGCATTCAAATATCTCAAATCGATCGTTACAATGACAATTTGTTGAACGTCCCACAATTTATTAATTAATAATAATTTATTTCACAATAATTTTTCAAATTTTTGAATAATGATTCTAAATTTTTGCGTGACATATAATTCTATAGATTTAAGATACACGTGGCCACGTTAAAAAGTGGGTATTCTTTGTATTCATTTTTTTATTTAAGTCTCAATCTTTTTTTACTTAATTTCCAATCGACCTTGAAACATTCTTTTCTTGAAAGAAACGTTCTATATATGCGATCAAGCCTGATCTCTTGTGTTGCAAGCTGCGCATCAAACTTACGTCAGCGTATTTTCCCAGCCACCCGGTCTATTATTCAAACAGAGCGAGCAAATATTATTCTTTTGCCGACACAGTCGATCCCGATGCGATCTAGTAGACGTCACAAAAGTTTTGCGACGGTGGTGTGAAAAATGGCGCGGAACTGCCGGAAAACCGCACCGATAGTTCAAAGATCGGTCGATATTTGTGCGAGACAGCTGCATTTGTAGACGTCTGTAAATATGTCTTCACGAGGAGGAGTGATTTATACTCACCGCGCTCACTGAAATTTGGCTCTTAAAGTTGTTTCATTTTCAATTAATTAAATCATCTAATTTATCACGTACATGTAATAGGCAGGGTACCGATTGCCAAGATTTCTTTTGCGCAGGTCAACTGTTACACAGATCCGGTTTGCCTAGAGATTCCGTTTGTACAGAAACCTTTTATTGCACAGATCCCGTTTATATATAAACTATATTTATATTATATTTAAACATAAACTATATTTAAACTACATTGCACAGATTGTTCGTTACAATTATTGCACAAATCTCGTAGTTAGCTACATGTAGCATAGAACTTTAGTGTAAAATACAATATTTTAGACGATTGTTTTTATGGACCAATATCTACGTGCCACGAAGTAAACATCTGTGTCTGGAAAAACGACCTTATTTTTGTTCTCTTCTATATGTACATATATAATGATAGAAATAGTGGTTTTAAATATGTCTTTTTCACGGTTTAATATAGAAATATAAGTTTCATACATTGAGATGTTTCAGAGAGAATGTTTTATTTAGTAATTAAATTAAATTAAATCCTCTCTATATGTAATATACGAGACAAAATTTTAGGCATTGTATATATTTTTTTAGAATATTTGTATTTATGTTAAAACAATTGATTTATATTTATTTATGTTATAACAACAAATTTACTCGGAATATAACGTTATATTGAGGTATTAATACGTACAATTTTGTATGTTTCAAAGTTTCTTTTTGTCTCAGACTTAGAAAAGTCATTAAAAAAAAAACATAAACTTGCCGCCGTACATACACCACTGCGTATTAATCATGCAAGATGTACCCTAATGTGTATAGATCGATGAGGGCTGTTAATATGAGATCTTGTTATTCAAGAGAGACGTTGACTATACGATGTAACCACAAGGCCCCGCATATCGGCACGTAATTAGAAACGGTTTGCCGCCGCGAACGTTTACGAACACAAAGAACCCGTTCATCTGACGGACGGATCGGCTGTTACACTCTGCGTTTCACTAGAAGCTTGAACGAGACTAGAAGATAAATGTTCCTTTTGTGGAAAACACATAAGTATCTTATTTATAGTTTCTTATTTATATTATTTTTGTAAAACAAAATTGACACACTATACCACTAAAACATTGCCGAACAGTTTTAAGTAGTACAAACTGATCACCTAATCGATCAGTTGTTTTATTGAACATTAAAAATAACGAAGATTATATTTTTTATGTTTTTTTGTGTCACGTAAAAAAGAAATACATCGTTTTCTTTTCTCAAAGATTGGAAGAATGCGGGTGACGCACTTTATTCGGGCGATAATCATGTTTTCTGGCAAAAAAATTGCTACGACATAAGGGAGGAATTCCTCTTTGTTGTACATAGGAACTATGAAAGATCTCAAAATTTAGAACTACTTGTGGCTTTTCGGAAAACCGTGGGGTTGTGATTCGAAAAAACACAGAAGGGATGAAGCATCTGCGCGATGCTTCATCTTCGTTTTCTCTCTCGCTCGTCTTTGTTATCCTTGTTGAAGGGTTGAAGGTTCGTCAATGTTGTACCTTCGGTCGATTTCTCACGTTTGTGTGTTGGAAGTTACACATGTCGCTGAAATAAAAATATGATAGAACATAATTTTTACTAAAAGATATTCATTCGTGAAATTTGCTTTTATTTTTATTTAACTTCTTTTTCTGATTTGAGTTTTTATTAGACGTTTTAATTTATTTATTTTTGCAGAGTGTATATTGTGGTTTTACAATTTATGTATTGGTGATTTATTATAACTTTTCATTTTTCTAATTTATTTAGTTAACAATAATTATTATTGTTTAGTTATAATTATTCACTAAAGAAGATCCGATTTATGAATTGTAACGTTTGAATTTTTTAATAAAAACTACAATTTCATACAACCAATATTCTGTATATTGGTTTGTATTGTTTCTTATTGTAGAAATTAATTTTCTTCAGTATCTGCATATCCATGGCTAATTATCATTCATTAAATTCGCATGTCGTACATGTACGTATACATATACGTATATAAAGTTGCGCATAAGTAATGCACTAGGCGTTTCAAAACAACGGGAGCGAGAGCAGCTGCGCTTGAACTTTAATTGTGAACGATTGACATCGATTCACGTAGAGTAAATACGAGCCGCCGACGGTATTTTGCGATCGGGGGCAGGTGCACGATGACGGCGGCAGGTGATAGTGTTTTGTAACAGAAAGTTTTTTTTTTGAAAGTTTAATTATATGAAAATCAATTTCTAACCGATTGTACGTCCGAGTACACACTTTGTTACACAGCTGCGGAAGAAAAACGTACGTAATATTTGTTCGCGTAACATTCGTATTGTTTACACGTATACATATTTATATTGATAATAAATCGAGAAAAATTGTAAAAAGAAGGTTTTGTGAGAAAAAACCGGACGAACAAAGAAAAGTAACGCGTGTTGTCGTTAGGTAGCTGAAAAATATGGTTAAGATCGTTGACGGCGAATAATGAACATGTCACTTCGACAACGAGGTATCGATAATCGTAGGGCACGACAGCATTTATTGGCACCCCGATAAAACGCGCGACGTGACTCCTCCCTCTTGTGACTTCAATCGTTCGCGTTACTTCTAAGCCGTTAAACTCGCTCGTTTTTTTTTTCTGCAAAATGCGCAGACCGTGTGATCTTTTTCTGTTCTCGATTTCTCTCGCATTCTCAGCAAAGGAAAGGCGTGCCTAAAGAGAATTGATGCAAGGGATATAACAGCTACGTAGGTAGGTTTCAATCTTTCACCTCCTTTTCATCATCAGCCCTTTTTTCGGGATGGTGTAAAAAAAATCAAGATATTCCGATAATTACGGTGATCTTGTCGCGTATCACTGGACGAATGTTTTTTTTTTTTTTTTTTTTTACCGGATATACGGGGGAGCGGAGATGGAGATTTTGAATGTGCGCGCAGGGTGACTGGTACACGCGAAGCAAGTTCGGTTTCACACGCGACCACCCGTCGACCGAAATTGCATATTCATGTGCGTATATACGCGACTCCCGTTCCTTTTATTTCGGAAATAACGTAACGGCATAGAAAGACAGAGAGGAATAGCGAGAGAGAAAAAGAAAAAGAAAGAGAGAGAGCAAGAGCAAAGCCACATCGCAAATCCTTGACAGGTGTTGGTCCTGATTCATACCACGCTGCCACCGTATTAACCGCATTAATTGGACGAGGGTGCTTTGGGCCAATACCGGCCGACCGCAATCTAAGCGAACGATCGTCGGAAATCCAACGAGTCGAGACAACCTCAAATTAAAGATTACATGAATACTGATTTAATCTCGACTTTTGTAATCAAGTTACATCCGCTGTTAAAGTTTCAAAAGTCGGAGTAAAATACTTTCTACTATACATTTCCTTGGTATAATCAAGTGTTCTAATTAAAAAGTACATTTAAACTTCCGTATGGCACAAAGGAGTTAATCTCAAGATTGAAAATTGAAATTAAAAAATTTGAGAGATGTTTCTATATTTGTACTTGTGTCGGGAAATTAATTAAGAATTATTGGTTTATTTAGTTGCGAATAATATGATTTGAACGGAGAGTAAATTTTGGTCAAGCAAGCAGTAAGTAATTCATTTGAATATCAATTTGCGGACTCACGAGGAGATTTATTTTTGAAGCAACTTTAATATAGGCTTTAAAATTTTAAACTTGGATAGTGATCAA